CTTGGTGTTCTCCTTCCTGAGACTTCCTTCTCTGAGCATATTCTCAGCCCACTCCTATTCTGTTTAGCATGAGTTCTCATTCCCTTCTGGAAGCCAGTTTTTTTTCTACAATTCTGCCAAGCATCACCCACTCACCTGACTCAGCAAGAGTCACACAAATTGCATACGTTTAAAAATACCTTTGCTGTATCTTCAGCATTGTTCTTCTCTTTACCATGTGAATAAAAAATAAGGCATGGACATCTGATTACATCTTAAGTCCCTGACTCTAAGTAGGCAAATGTCCCCTCTATACCCAATGTTCATGGAGAGAATGTTTTCACTGTAGACGTTAATCAGCTGCTTTCAAATACATATATTCAAAACAAGAGAAGAGTCTTGAGATAAAGCAAAAGAGATTCAACATTTATCAATCACCTGGATATCAAAACACTTAAATGCATACCACTTACAGGTTGTGAAATGTCTGATTCTGCCAACCTTCAAGGAAAAGTAAAAAATACAATGGAGAGAAAATAACTATATCCTTGCTGATATGGTATTATTTGCCTAAAGGAAGACTTTAGGAAGTTTTGTATCCACTATGACTTCGTCTTTATCTTCACATTTCTTTAGATTACTTTAGGTAATCTGATTCACTCCAATGGCTCCAGAGAACCACTTCCCCTTTCCCAAGCATCCACTTGAAGACTGAGCCTGACTTTTGATACTCTTATTTCTCTAAACTCATTCCAGAACTGGGCTTCTGAGAATGACTTTCTAAAGTCAACACAAACTTCAGACTTCGGGTCTCTCTAACAATTGGTCACAGAATGAAGATGAAACTTGAAAACTCAGTGGTGTTCTCTAAGCTTTTAAAGCCAAACACTGAACAGAGATGCGGAGATAAATACAGCCTTCCAACACTCAAAGCCACTGGCTCACGTCCATGAAGGTCCCAAGTTCTGGGAAGAACCATCCTGTAGACAGCTTTTTGTTTTATTTTGTTTTTGTTTTGTTTTGTTTTACTTTATCAGGATCATCCACTCAAGTAATCTTGATAGGTCATTCTCACTATTTAGGTCTTTAAAGAAAAATGTCTTTCATTGGCACAGGGTAGCGGAGTCAAGAATTCAGAGAAATGTTCGTAGGTTAAAAAACATGTCTCGAGCATGGCAAATTTCAAATTTGTGGCTTTTGGCTTCTAACACTATACCAATTACTTGAATAATATTTTGTTTCGTGAGAGACTTAAAAATGGTCATGTATTTTTCATTTTTAAAAATGTTCTCCTTGCCTATCTGTGATTAGGACTGAAACTATAAATTCAATCAGAAAACCATTTCGGGGCCTCCCCTGGTGGCGCAGCGGTTGAGCGCTGGGCTGCGAAGCTACACGCAGCCTCGGCAGCCCCGGTTCGATCCCCAGTCACCGGGTGAGGGTCCCACATGGCCTGCAGACCTCTCCCGCGGCCCGCTGCACCCCTCAGCAGTGTACTTCGGTCCTTCTGCCTGTTCTGCTCCCCGCTCTGGCTCTGGTGAATTCTCTCACCCTCCCGCGCTTCTGACTGTACCCAGTGCTTGTATAAATAAATAAATAAATCTTTAAAAAAAAAAGAAAAAAGAAAACCATTTCGTTCACAAATCTACATATGCCTGCCATTAATTTAGTTCTATAAACCACCTCATATAAATTGTAAGTTGGACAAATATGCCTGACAACATTAACTAGTAACTGCGTGAACTCAATTAATTACACAGTTCTCCACTTTGGGCAAATGTTTGACTGTTCTTAAAAGCTTAAATACAAAACAGGACCAGCCTGACCTGGCACAAACTACTTACCTGCTCTGATGTTCAGTTTCTTGAGCTGTGGGGACTGAGAGAGACAGTCATACCCACCCCACACAACTGTTGTGAAGACTGAAGAGTCAATGAAGCATTTGCCAAAGTGCAACCTCTGACACGTGGGGAATAGGATGGGTGTGATAAATGTGCTTCCCTTCTCCAACCGCCCTTCCTTGGGTCAACAAGTGTGGCGGCTCTTAAAAATCTATAATGGCTGTGTAAAGTCATGTTTTTGCAGCAAAGCAGTGTGTGAAGTCTTATATTTAAGAATTTTGTGGGAAATTGTGGATGAACCTTGAGGACTTATGTGCTAAGGTGAAACAAGCCAGCCACAAAAAGGGGCGAATATTGGAGGATTCCACTTATATGAGACCCTAACCCAAAGTAGTGATGGTCACAGAAACTGAAAGTAGAATGGCAGCTGCCAGAGTCTGGGGGCAGGACTCGGGGATGTTAGTGTTTAATGGGTACAGCATTTCAGTTGGGAAAGACAAAGAAGGATCTGTAGATGGATGGTGGTGGTTATACAACAATGTGAAAGTACTTAATACACTATTAAACAGTACTATTAACAATGGTTAAAATGATAAACCTTATGCATATTTTACCACCCCCACCTCCCCAAAAAACCCCACAAAAAATTTAATCGATTCTTTAGAAACAAAGACTTAGAGAAAGAAATAATTGTGTTGTAGTTCATTCATTCCAGCTCCCTGCCCTATGGGAGAAAAATGAGGAAACGCTTCCATTTGGTTAATGACCTGCCTTCTCCTTCAGCCAGGCCCTCTACTCAGCTGTGCTCCACCACTTGTCCCGAACTCAGCTCTCCTCAATTCCTACAACAGCTATCCCAAGCAGTCATCATTTTTCAAGCCCTCCAACCAACAGTAGATGACCTCTTGCAGATGACCTCACCAGGCAAATGCTCAGAGGCAATTCCTTCCAACTTTCTTCAGCTCTAATCCAAACCTCTCTGTAGCCACCAGCATTGCTCAGTCTCTGAAGAGGAAGTTTACACATTTTGTCCTTACACTCTTGGACTCATCCTCTTCCCATCGTCTTTGGGAACTTGCTTTTCCCCTTCTACATTCTACTATTTCTACCTATGTAAGTGTGCCTTAGTGCTGAAACAAAATAGCCATAGACTGGATAGCTTTAAACAACAAACATTTATTTGTCATAGTTCTGGAAGCTGGGAAGCCCAACACCAAGGTACCAACAGACTGGGTATCCAGTGAGGGCCCTCTTTCTTGTTCACAGGTGGCTGTCTTTACCCACCAATGGCAGAGGGGAGAGGGACCTCTCTAGGATTTCGTTCATCAGGGCACTAATCCTTAATCAGCTCCCGAAGACTTCACCTTCCTAACATCAACACCTTGGGGGTTAGGATTTCAGCATATAAGTTTTGTACTGGAAAGGGGGTTGTGGGTCAGACAGACCATAGCAATATATTTATACTACCTTATGCAAAATAAAGACTTCTCCCTTTTACTCTTTACCTATAAAATACCTACTTTAAATTGCTGTTAAAAAAAATAAGGCAGTCTATGTTCATTGTTTCTACTCATTAATGCCCACAGCACTTAGTCATTTCAACTAGTCATTCTTTTTTATTTTTTTTAAAGATTTATTTTATTTATACAAGAGCCGGGATACAGTCCAGATGCGCGAGAGGGTAAGAGGATTCGCCAGAGACAGAGCGGGGAACAGAACAGGTAGACTGACGAAATACACTGCTGAGGGGAGCAGCGGGCGAGACAGGAGAGGTCTGCTCACCATGTGGGTTGCTCCAAGGACAGCGGGGATCGAAACGGCACTGCAGAGGCTGTTGACAGCTTCAAAGTGCTGTGCTCAACTGCCTGCACCACCAGGGAGGCCCCCACTTAGTCATTCTTATGTCACTACTGCAAATTTTCCCTGAGACCCTCTAATTAAGTGAAATCCAGTGGCCTCCTTTTACTTCTCACCCCAACTTGACCTCTTGGTGACATCTGACATTTTTAATGTTTTTAAATGCTCTTTTGTGAGCACACCCTTCAAATGCTGGAGTGTTCCAGAATCCTTTGCTCTACCCTCCCCCTCATTTTGCCCCCCTAGTTCTGCTTTTGTAACCTCACCCATCCACACACGTGTACCGCCAACTCCCAATTTTTGCTCCTAAACTCTGGAGTCACATTTCCAGCTGTCTGCTAGTTATCTCATTTGGATACCCCATCCTCTCTTGTTCAAAACCAAACCCAGTGGGTCCATTCTACTCTCCCAGCCAATGGCTAACAGTGTAAAAAAATACATGAGCATTTTCCGCACTCTCTCCCGATCATTCTATGTAGCTCGTGGCAGGAAGTCCACATATTTGACCTCCTTCTGTTGTGAGTGCATTAACCCAGGTTCTTCACCTGTACCTAGACGACTGTACAAGTCTTCTAACTAGCCTATCCTCTTTTTTTTTTGGTCCCTTCCAGCCCATTTTCCACACTGCTGTCAGGTACTTTTCTAAAATGTAAAACTGTGCCATTCCTCCCACTTTAAAACCTCCAATGTTCCCCACAGCCAACTGAACAAAGTACTCAGCATCAGACACAGGCTCTGTTCAATCTCATCTCCCTCCCCCCGCTTCACCCCTCCTCCCAAGAGCCTCAAGCTCCAGCTCAATGTCTCAGAAAATGATCCTCAGACTCCTACAGCTTGGTACATACTCCTCCTCCTCCATATGGTGAGCAGCCACATCTCTCCAAGATTCAACTCCAACGCCAATCTTCCCAGACCTTCCAGACTGAATTAACTTCACCCTTCCAGAGCAATCTGTACACAGGCTTCTTCAGCAACACTTAGCGCACGGCAGCAAACTCACCTGTTTCTTGTTCCTAGGCCATCACTGAAGCCGACTCTCCAAAGAAACTCAAGTACAGGAACTCTGCCTTACTTAGCCCACCCCAGAATCTTGGTCTCTCTCCCTCCAGTCACAGAGCTCCCCAGCCTCAGGGCTCAGGTACTTTGCTGTCACACCGATGGCCCCTGGTGAGTGTGTTTGCTGTAAGGCATAGGAAATCACCCACTGGCTCACTGAACAGCCATTTACATGTGTGAGGACACATGGACAGGATGAATAAGACTTACTCTCTCCCGCTAAGGAGCACCCAGCCTAGTAGAGAAAACACACAAATAGACACTTACACAACATGCTGTGGAAGCCCAGTGACAGGTAATCCAGGCCATTCTGGAGACAGAGGGGCATGGAGGACAACAATGAATCTGGAAGGTGTGGAGAGCTGGGAATGGAAGGGGCCACTGGAAGAAGCTTCCAGGACTATCTGTGTCCAAAGTTGGAGAACACGGGAGAGGACAAATGGGAAAAGGCAAAAAGGAAAATGTGTCAACTAACCATATGAACGTCTTATCAGCTGCCCAAGTACAAGCAGTAAAGTCCAGTTAGAATTTTTTGCAAATCTATCCAGATCTTTAATTGTAAAGACAACACAATCAGCAACCTCCTGGGATATACCTTCTCACCTCTTTTTTTCTTCCTCCTTCACACCTACGGACACACAGAAGAGGCTACAGGTCTGGGGCCTGCACTGCCCTCCAGCCTCCCCCGCAGTACATACTCTCTGAGCTGCCCCGCCTGTGGCTCAGGTTTCCCTGACCTCTCCTCACTGTCCCCTGACCCCTTTCTTCTCTGCCTGCGCTCACAGTCCAAGCGTGCTGCACAACGAGGCTACCCCATTTAGTGCTGCCCTATTTATTCAAAGATGATGTCACTGAGAACAATCATACCTTCTTCTGTTTATCAACAATAGTTCTTTTTTTCATGGCATATTAAATCTACTCTTTAATTTGGAATTGTGGCCATTGCTGCTATTGCCGTTTAGTTTTTAAGTCTTTAGTGGACTCAAAGTTATTTTTGTTTGTTTTGAAAACTAACCCTACCAAAGGAAAACAGATGAAGTAATAATTATCAATACACCACACAGTGGCAAAAGCTCAGGTTTTGTCAGTGTCTTACTGCACAATTCTTTGACCGATTTTCTGCAAATCCTTGTAGAAACCTTGAAATATTCTACGTATTTTTAAAAATATTTTTGGGTTCTTGCTCCATCTTAATGAGAATCATTTTACCACTTTGAAAAAGAATTAAAGGGCCTCCCCTGGTGGCGCAGTGGTTGAGCGCTGGGCTGTGAAGCTGCCAGCAGCCTCTGCAGCAGTGGTTCAATCCCCGGCCTCCGGCGAGGGTCCCACATGGTGCAACAGACCTCTCCTGCTGCACCCGCTGCTCCCCTCAGCAGTGTATTTCGTCAGTCTGCCTGTTCTGTTTCCTGCTCTGGCTCTGGTGAATTCTCTCACCCTCCCGCACTTCTGACTGTACCCAGTGCTTGTATAAATAAATAAATCTTAAAAAAAAAAAAAAAAAAAAAAATTAAAGACATGGACAGATATAAACATTAAAGAATGCAAAATCATCTTTTAACACAGTATTTACATTTGTCAGTTTTAATCATATTTACTCTGTATTAACTGTATCCCTGCAAGTTCAATTAATAAAGCATATTAATAATAGAATCAGGCTAGAAGTTAGGAGGTTAGGGAGAGGAAAACTAGGTGGTCTCTCTTTAGAACTGTTATCTTAGAGTCACAGGAACCAGGGGCGTGGAGAAGGGAGGGAATTAAAGGGGGGGGGAGGAAGAACATAAGAATAGTTAAAAGCAAGACGTGAAGTAAAAAAAAAAAAAAAAAGGGTAAGTTAATTTCACTTACAGTTAAGAAACTGCCCGCGAATGCATGTGGAAAAAGCTTTCATCCCTCAATCCAAGAAGCAAGCAGAAGTACCACTCCAGGGAGGCTTGGTGGGGCTAAAATGAGGCAAGAAGAATGTCAGGTCGCACAACTGACTGAGGAAAGGCATGCCAGCCACTCTTCCTCCCACCTCAAGCACTTTTTAAAAAGTTAATCATCGAATTAAGTGATATAATCCAATTTCCAAACTTGTTCTACTCCCCTTAAACTGCTGCCGCCTCCAATAATCTTACAGGCAAATGCATTAATCTCAAACAGCATTCTCTTCAGATTCTGCAACATCTGACGCTCTTGATCACACCACTCTCTTCATTCCTGCCAGAACACAGCTGACTCTTCTTTCTCTCTGGCACTATAGCTGTAGCTCCTCTTCCTACTTCCATTCAGACTACGGTTTCCCCGAAGGTTGGGCCCTCTCTGCATCCCTTCCAGAATCTAACGATCAGTTCTGGCGTGAGAAGTGTGAAATGTCCCTTGTTGGCCAGAAATTTCAACAAGAGCCTTGGTCCTTTAGTTTCTTCAACAAGAGCCTTGGTCCTTCAGTTTTGACGGCTTAGGAATTTCCTGTTGACTATCTAAAAACCTTATCTCCTCAAAAACTGGTTTCTCTTTCCAGTTATTACATGCGGGTTCATTCTGGAGCTCTGAAAACCCTGAGACTATTTATTACTTTTATCTTCCTCTCTCCTCATTCTACCGCATCCTCCATGTGTGCCCTACCTCTCGCTCATCTCCCCTTACCAGCTCCATCCATTACTTTACTGCCCAACTACTTCACCTCCTAGTTTTCCCTTTCTTCAATTCATCTTTGATGCCACTACCAGATTAATCTTCCTCTAAACACCATGGTGATTTTCCCTTTCCAAATTTTACCATCACTCCTCCTTTTCTGAACAGTTGGGTGGTTTTCAAATATGCTCCCAGATCCTTTCTCACTCCTCTTCTTAGTCCCTCCTCCCCCTTAAATGTGGACTGGACTTACTGTCTTGCTTCTAAGGAAGAGAATATGCCAAGGGTGGTTCCTGCTTCCAAATTCTGGACCCACACAAGTCATGAGAGATAGTAATGTTTACTGGTGTTCTGTGCCACTAAATTTGGGGGTAATCTGCTACATGGCAATAGAGCACTAATTCAGAAGGGCTCTCTGCTGTTGAGTGGATCAAATCCAAGTCCTGGGCACCCAAGGTCTTCCACTGACTGCCCTTACTTTATCTTTGAACACAAACATTCTACGTCAGCGTGAGGCCACTTATTTTACTGACCTCACATGACACTGTAAATGCTGCCTCTACCTTAGTCTGGGCCAAACTCACATGAAATGTCCTTGATTCTTTCTACTAAATTCAACACTCACTTTTAGGCTCAACTTAACAACTACCTACCAGCGAAATTTTGTATTTTTTTCACACATTAAAAACAAACATATATCTGATTTCCAAAACTATATTCAGGGTAAATAGGAAGATTCCCTTTATTATTTTCATAGTTCCCATACTTATGGACACAAAGTTAAAAACGTTGCTTAGAATTTTCATGGTTTCTTTCAAAGGAATTTTTTAATATCTTCTAATAATAGACATATAAACTTTACTCGACTTTTTAATGTGTTAAGGATTTTGAGAGGACAATTTGGTGGACCACATTACCAAAATATCTACATGGTTTTTGAATAAGAAATTTGACTTCCAAGAATCAGTTCTGTAGACATAACAGAATATAGGAATGTGGATAGTTTCCACAGCAGTTATGGTAGGGAAAAATCAGAATCAACATAAAATTCATCAGAGGAAAAGTTACAATAAATTAGGTTACAGCAGACCAGCATGAATCCGTCTTAGGAAACCCATCCCAGTACTGCCTCTGTCCTGACCTGTTCAATCTCCATGAAATAAAGTGAAGGGGGTAAAAGGAAGGCACACAAAATAAAATATTTAAAAATAAATTTAGTAACAAATGAGTAAAACCTACCAGAGGAAAACTTTAAAACAGTCCTAAAAAGGCACATATGCAGACTTTAACCAATAGACAATTATCATTTGGGACAGGAAAAGTCACCATCTTACAAATATCAGGTGACCATTTAGGTAATTTATAAATTTAATGTGGTCCCAGTTAAGTGTCCCAACAAGTGTTTCTAAGAAGCTAGACATACAGGAAACAAACATGCACTAAGAGCCAGGAGGACACTAAGTGTAGGACTAGAGGGATTCCAACACCAGCCATACTTCAGGGGCCCTACCAGCAGAGTGCGCGGCCAGCTGGCCCGTGTATAGACCTCCAGGCCCGTGTGTAGACTGCCAGACCCATGTCGTGATGGAGAAAGTCCAGAACAGACGCGAGCACAGACTGAGGCTTCATGCTACTCATGATAAAGGGGACATCGAAAATCACTGGGGCAAAATTGACTTTTTAATAAAAGGTTAAAACAACTGGTTAGTCATTCGGAAAAAGATAAAATTAGGTCCATACGTCAAACCATACACAAGAACAAACTCCCAATGAATCAGAGCTCTAAATGTAAAACAATGCCAGCCATATAGACACGGGGGTTGGGGGGGGGCAGGGAAGGATATAAGCAGAGACCTTATATCAATATAAGGAATGTCTTGCTAACTATGATTCAAAGTCAGGAAGGGTAAGAAAGATTAATTTGACTACATAAAAAATGTTCCAAACCCATCATAAACAAATGGTAACAGATAAAATGGGAGAAAATAATCACATTGTACCACAGGTAAAGGGCTCAGATCTATAAAACATAAAGAATTCTTAAGTTTTAGGAAATTAAGATGGACAGAAAGATGGCAAATGACCTAGGTGCTCACACACACACACCCCTTAAACAGATGAGAAGGTGTTCAATTTCACTCATTACAGAAACACAAATTAAAAATACGCAGAGATGCTATTTTGTGACTATGAGGTTTGGCAAAATTTAAACCGTACAAAAAATGACTCTTGGGGCCTCCTTAGTTGCACAGGAGGTTGAGCGCAGTACTGTGAAGCTGTCCGCAGCCTCTGCAGAGTGGGCTCAATCCTGGCCAGCCGCAGAGCTATCAACATAGCACAGCAGACCTCTCCTGTCTTGCCTGCTGCTCCCCTCAGCAGTGTATTTCAGTCACTCAGCCTGTTCTGTTCTGTTCCCCACTCTGTCTCTGGTGAATCCTCTCACCCTCCCGCACATCTGGCCTGTACCCATGAATAAATAAATAAATAAATGAATAAATAAATCTTTTTTTTTTTTAAAAAAGTTACTCTTGGCCAGGCTCTGCAGAAATAGGCACTGTCATAGGGAGCTCTTTGGAGAAGTGGCCATGAAGAAAGCACAAGAGGAGGACCATTCTGTAGCAGAAAGGCTACGTCAAGGAGCACTGGGGACGTGCCAAAAGGACCTGGGAGCCAGTTTGAAGGGGCTCCCACTGGCCAAATGTGGGACAACTTGAGCATCAAGATAAGGATAATCAAGTAAGAATAAAGTAAAAATCCATGAGCCTGCACGGATATAAATAAACGAGTGAAAAATGAGGGAATATTCTTTCTTTGTATAAGTAAGGCAACTAGTGGGAAAACAGGGAATGATGGTATTTTTAAAGTCACCACTCGGCACCCATCCTGGATTCTAAAGCCTAGAGTGAGAATCTGGGGAGGAGTGTGTGTTAACTAAAAATTACTGCATAAGACAGTTACTGTCTGAAAAGTGGGGAAGAATCACTTGACACTGGACAGCCCTGGCAGACCCAAGCTGAGCCAGTGGTCCAAGGCAGCAATGGGGAATACACACAGGCGCGGTGGGCTGCTGAGTGTGATGCACTGAGAACACCACAGTACCCCTCGGGTAGTGCTCCCCTCAGGGGGCAAACCTGAGTCTCCTGTGAGGAAACCTTAGCAACCCAAACTGAAGGACAGGCGCTGCAAAAGTTGGCCAGTGCTCTTCAAAAATGCCAGGGCCATGAAACACAAAGACTGAGAACTATTCCAGACAAAAGGAGACCAGACTTTGGGAATTTCTTACTGTAAAGACATTGGGGGGATAATTGACGGAAACTGATTAAGGTCTGCACTTAGATAACTATTATTCTATCAGCGTTATTTCCTGATTTTGAAAAAAAAATCACTTTGTAAATAAGGAGGGAGAAAGTGAGTTCTGGCCGAGACTATACAATCTAAATCTCATGAAGAGGAAACGTAAGACAAACACAATTGCGAAAGTTACTTCTTATTGAGAGGGAAAATGGGACAGCTTCTATATTCTTCAAAAACGTCAATCTGATAAAAGACAAAGGAAAACTGTGGGAATATGCCAGATTACAGAGTATTAAACAGATATGACAACTAAATGTGATGTATCACTCT